AGGCACAAGCCTCTGCCTGACACCCCCAGTCTCATCACCCACATCTACCTGGTCACCACTGGAATCTCCTAGATATCAATCCCTCTCTCCAACCCTTCCACCCTCTGCTTCCCTACTGCCCTAAGCCAACCCTGTAGCCTCACTCTTGCACCAGGATAACCTCTTAAACTCCCCTTGCTGACTCACTACCAGAATCAGGGCACCCACCTCCATTCAGTCCTAACACCGCAAAGCAAGCTTCTCCTCCATGTCTGTAGGGATCATGTCTGTCTGGCAATCACTAGTTCCTTCTGGTGTCTAACATAAACACTTAGCACAACTAGGCAGGCAGCAAATGACCATGTGACTGATTGAACGCACAGATGAGACAGCTAGTATTCTTAGGATTAATTTCTACCACCTTCCATAAACTCAAACTAATATTTATCTAATAACCACTTGCTTCTGGAGAAGTGAAGACACAGTAACCTGAGGTTTACGCAAAAAGGCAGACCATCATCCTACACATTCACACACGTACTCGTATCAATAGTTATGCATTCTTTTCATTATGCCTGACATAATGGAGCTATTCTGTGATAAAATGTACAGGACCACGGTGAACAATTATTTTCGGAAATTAAAAAAAAAAAAACTGTGAAAATGCAAAGAAAAGCCCTTCCAGATACCTTCCAGGACACGATGGACAGACACATATCACCTTCAAGTCCTCTGTGCCCTGGGGAGGTTGGTTTGAAGCGAGGCCCCCATGCTAATGTACAGAATAAACCCCAGTCCAAAACAAGGCCACAAACACCTACCAGGGAAATTCCTATGAGTCCATAATCACGCTGGGGAGAGGGACATTTCCATGTTATGCAATCATAAATGCATCCTGTCCATTTGCTTATGAAACCTTAGAAATTTGCACTCAGAGTGAATGACAATTCTTCCTTTCTAATTTGGCAATTTGTCCTTAAAGGAACACTTCTTAACCCCAAAGGATCAGCAAATGACTATGGTTGTTAAATAGGGCCATTCCAAGCAATCACAGGCCTGCCTTCCAGACCTGTCCCACAATGCCAATACACCGTAATGACTTCGATAAAAACTCTCCCAGGTGGGATGAGAGAGAAGGCCCTGGAACCAGATTGTGCTTGAATCCTGGCTGAACTGCTCTCCAGTTGTGTGACCTGAGACAATACACTCATCACTGTACCTCAGTTTCTCACATTTAAATGGAAGTGATAACAGCCCTGCCTCGTGGCATTGCATCGATGATTCAAATAGTTAATATTTCTTAGCACAATACCTAGTACACTCTGAGTGCTCAATACATGTCAGTAATAATGATAGAAATTACATTACCATAATAGTATATTAGCATTAATATTAATCTTGCTTCCCTCCTGCCAGCTCCACAAGGGATTGTATGCCCTACCAGGTCTCTTAAACAGTAAAAGCAGTGATTCTCAAACGTTAGCATGCTCCACGATCATCAGAAAGGCTTCTTAAAATACGGAACACTGTGCTCCGGACAATGCTTTTGATTCAAGGAGCCTGGGATGGTGCCTGAGAATGAGCATTTCTAACAAGTTACTCCCAGGTGTATAGGTTCTGCTGTTCTGGAAAGACCTGTCGAGAAACACTGACTAAGGGGCCTCACTGCATCAGAGGAGCAGGGGTCCAAACCTCCAGGGCTGCACACACCCAGAATGCCCTTTTTGATTCCTTCATGTCAGTAACTCCACCAACAATTCGGCTCAAGCAACAGGAGCCCCCCGGGGCCTTATGTAGGCACCTACAGCACTGTATTATTATCAAGGAAATCAGTTCCACGAAACTACGAGCTCTCTGGCCATCAGGACCTTGGCCAACTAAGAGCTCTCTGGCCATTCAGTGCCTGTGACACAGAAAACCCTCCATAACTCGTGACTGATATGAAAAAAGGTACAGGGCCCTATGACTGCTTCAAGCTGATGGGAGATGCTGCGTGTTCTCAGAAAGAGGGTTGCAATCAGGAAGCATTTTTATGTAAGCCTTTCTGGTAAATGGCCCCAAAATATCTCAGCAGAAAGAGACCAAAATGTCCAGCAAATGATTGTAACCTCTTTTTCCATTCTAAGTAAGTACTCATTTTCCTAACTAATTTTGTGCTATTTTTTCTTAAAGAGAATCTCCAAACTGTTTACCCTTTCAGGTCTTACTCTTCGGGCATACTCTGCTCCTTGACGCTTTGGCTTTTCTGGAAATTTCTCTGATTCATCACCCACCCTGCCCCTTCATTAGTGCATTTTAACCAAGCCAAGCACACTTTTATAAAAACACCTTCTAGGCAGGATTTCAAATGCTATTAAAAAGGAGTCCTGTCAATTTCACTGTCATACAAAGATAGAGAAAAAAAAAACAGTACCAAGTATGATCCACAGAATATCCTACCTCATCCTCCCAATACAGGCAAAAAGCCTTTCTTTAACATAAAACACTTTCTTCAATATCTTAAAGTTATTTTAACATGAAATCCCTCCATATTTTTGGTAATAAAGAATATTTTTAAGAAAGTAAGTGCTCTCATTGTCAGAAGATATTATTTAAAATTCTAAGTCCTATTTTCATTCTCATCCTATATAGTAATTTAAACTTAAAAATCACTTTTGTGGGGTACATGCACTTCAAGGAATTGTCCGTTGAATTTTTATGGATCATTCACTCTAAGACTAAATCAGGAATTTTAGGATTCCTTCCCAAATAATTTTGTGTTGCAGTACTCTAGACTTTCAGAGATAGATTTAAGAGCAAACAGACACACCTTTTAAAATAAATATTAGATATATCCATGTATGATTATAGATGTATGCACACACACAAAGTCCTTTTTAGGTGTCTACAGTGGCCTCTGGAAAGTATGAAAGGTAATGGAAAGAAATCAAGCTGAAATATGTTAAAGCACATGAATAATAAGAAAATTAGCTGTTACTTTAGTGTGTAATACACAAAGAATACATCTATTAAGTTTTACTAACTTGCCCCACTTAGAATAACTCCTTAAAATATACTGTCAGATACATAATAAATTTTATATTTTAAAACCAGCAGATGCTCCCCTCGTCCCAGATTGCTCATAGTTTAACCACACAAGTACAATAAAAACAGTGCTTAGTTTACTCTTGATTTAACTCCTAGGATGTGGATTGTTGTATGAACATAAATTTGATTTCTTATTTCTACGCAATCTGCCCGATTTACACTATCTGTCTCACAGCACCATGGAATAGTGGAAGAGCATGGTTCTTTATTCATTCTCAGGCCCACTGGTTAGTGACCCAGAGAAATGGATGGATTCCTCCCTGCCTCAGTTGCTCATCTATACAAGGATAGTTAAGATCTACTTTCTATATTTTATGCAACAACATGAAGAGCCCAGCATGGTGCTTGCCACAGAGCTGATTCTTAAAAACTTTGCCATAAGGATGGTTTTGATAATCCTTGTCACTTTGGTTGACAGACAGGGCTAATGACAGATATTCTTCACAGATTTCCATTCTCCCTGCATTCAAATGTTTATTACCAGAGACTAAAGAGGTGCCAGGAGACACTGGCCCAAAGTGCAGTTGAACCTGCACTGAGGCACGAGTGCCCTAAAACTCCCCTTTATGTCAACACCTGTGCTACCAAACAGCACACCATCCTGACCCTCCCAAGGGCTCCCCCTCACCAGGTGTACAACAAATACCTGTTGAGTTGAAATGCTACTGACCCAAGTGAAAAATGGATGCTAATGGAAAGCATAAGCCACAGACCTGCTTGCCATCCAGTGTGTTGGTGAAGTAGGTTTTCTAAAGTCCCAAGGTTCATCTGGAAACTAACTATGTGTGACCCCTGCCGAGGTAACTTGGAGAGCGAATTGCTAGACGTACCTGGACGCAACTGTATCCTTCAGAGGTGCAACCAAGTTCCTTCAGATGCTCTAACACAGTCTAGGGACATCCACCCATTTTTTTAAAGCCCTCTGCGCACCATTTGCTAAACAAATGGACAGTGTGCTGGGGAACTAGCTGTGGAAGCAATCGCCTCAAGTTAACCACCACCATTACCCTATATATATACACACACACGCGCACACACACCATGACCATATATATTCACACACACACACACATATATATTAATGTGACAACACATTAACCTATACACTTGCCCTAAGGCTTTCTGCTCTCATGGGGCTGAGCAGATGTCTGCGCGAGGAACCCAAGTGGAATCCATCTCCAGGTCTCCACAGAGGGAGCGCTTCAAAGCCTACACAAGTGAGGTTCGGACCTCTGCAGGGAAGCCCCGGCCCTGACGGAGGCTGCCTAACTCCGCTGCGCCCCGAGAAAGCCAAGTGTGTGTTCTTTGAAAGGCGGAGAAATCCCGGGGCAGGCCCTGCTCAGCGTGCTTTCCGCGCGCCGCGCCGCAGAGGGCCGCCTCGCACCTCCAGCACGCCTCTTTCCCCCCAGAACCCGCAGCTCCGGGGTAGCACCCCCGCTGAACTCCCAGCCTGGACGCTCAGGGTCCCCGACGGCTCCCTTGGTTGAGGGCAGACGCCCACCCCGGCAGAAAGCAGAGGGACCCCGGTGCCCCGCCCGCGCGCGCCGCCAACTAAGCCCACCACCGCCCTCACCTGTTCGAGGCCGCGTCCGGGGGGCTGCAGAGCGGCCAGCGCGCCCCCCACCTGCGCGGGACCTGCCGCCGCGGCTCGCAGGCGCAGGCAGCAGCCCGGACTCGGCGGGGCGGGGCCTCCCCCACTTCCTCGGGCCCCCAAGCCCCGCCCCCAAGGGGCGGAGGCCACGGCGCGTCACCTTCCCGACCCGAGAGCGGGCGCGGCCGCCGGGAGCTGTCGCAAGAAGGTACTGTAGCTGGGTTCTGGGCTCCGACTGGGCGAAGAGGAAGAGGTTACTTGTGGTTTTTATTCGTCTGCGTTAGCTCACAAGAAAAAGATGTGTCCAGAAAGCCTGGAAGGGGTTAGGGGAGTTTTTACTCACGTTTCAGTTCCAATTAAAGAAAGAGGACGCGTGCGACTTGCAAACTTAATTGCAAACACCTTGTCTTCAGTGAGACCCAGAGGAGCGCCCCTTTCAATGGGAAGGAGGCCACCTCTGCGTTTTCCACTCTAACCCGAGCGACACCTCCAGCCCGTGCGGGTGTGCGCACCTGGGGGTGGGCGTCGGCCGCCCGGACGCACAGCGCTCTGCTTGCTGAGCCTTAGTCCGCGTCTATAAAAGCCAGGCTGCAATACGTTCCCAGCGAGCTGCCCGAGTACCCGGCGACTCTTACAGGTCCCTAGGTGCGATGACTGGCACGCAGGCGTTCAGCAAATATTTGCCTCTTGTTCCTTCCCTTGCTTTCACTGTCTCCCTACCCCCTCTTCTCTTCCCGCCATGATCTTTCCGCACTTTATTTGCGCTTTATCTCTGCCTGGTCAGTTTCTTTGCCCATCTATTGATGAGCGGGTTTACTGGGCACCCGTCTGTGCCCGGCAAGGTGCCGGGTGGCTTAGGAGAAGGCACGCTGATCTCTGCCTCCTGGAGGTCAGCTCACCATACACCTCCACCACCCCCAGGAAAGAATAGTTTTGAAATTAGATATAAGAGAGTTCTAGAAACAAGCTAAATAGGGTGTAGGACAGGCCCATATTCTATAGGCTGTTACAGGAGTGGTCGGTCGGTGAGCCGGAGAGGAGTTTAATTGGCTGTGAATATCACCTGCTCCTGTGGAGCCAAAAGACATCAAATCAAATCCTGGCTTGGCAACTAATTGTGTAAACTGTTCAGTTCATTAAATGCTTCTGAATTTAAAATTTTCCCTTTAATAAACTGGGATTAAAACAATAGGTAGTGCATAGATTTGGAGGAATATTTTCATAATGTACTTACCACAGTGCCCTGACTCATGACAGGTGCTTATTGAAGGTTGGCTAATGATAATAATTGTGCCATAGAAAATGGAGAGGGCCCGGGAAGAGAAAAATTAGAACACATGAGAACTTGGGATGAAATGATAGAAATAGAGCTTCCATCATCATGAAAAGGGTATTCATAATCACAGCCACCAGTGATGGGCGGAACTGGTCACCAGTTTCTGTGTTTAGCATGTAACCTGTGGTGATTACATTCAATATTCACTGTGAGATAGTCCATAATATCCCCTGCTTAAAATGAGGAAAATTAGCATCAGAACATGAAATAACTGTCTTGAAGCTCTGAATCCAGTTAATAGCAGAGTCACAGCACCCTGAGGCCTTTGACAAGTCTGGGCTTTTCCCACCATGCTCCCCCTATAGGCTACATCCCCTAACTTAGAAAGCAGAGGATACAGGAGAAAATAAAAAAAGAAAAAATATATATATGTATGTGTATGTGTGTGTGTGTGTGTGTGTGTGTATACACACACATAAAAAGCATATATGTATGCTTTCTATATATATATATACATGTCTATCTCTACTGTATATATACACACACATATATATATAAAGAAGAGAAAGAGGACTAAGGAGAAGTAGCAACCTTATCTTTAAAGCCCACTAATAGTAACACTGAATTAAAACAGTAAGTGAAGCCACACAAAAGCTTTTTGCTTCTAACTCCTGCCACAATGGAGTTTCCTGTCCTGTGGTTCCTGCAGCCCAACCACAAGCTGAAGATGACTAAGAGCATTCTTCAATCATTAAATACGACAGAAAGTGAAACATCTAAAGATACAGATATCTAAGGTTCTATCTCCTCCCTCACACCACAATATACTCCTGTCAGGCTTCCTTGAGTGACTTTTTTTTATTGTCCAAATGTGTTACCTGCCTCTTTATAATGTGTTGCACCTAGGGGATTATATTGTTGCTTTTACTAACTTCGCTGCGTAACCATAACCACAAGCAGCACTTAGAACAGCAAATGGACTCATATGTGGCTGATAAATTTTCAATACACGATTGTTACATTGAATTTCTTGATTTAAACAGTTTGAACTAAGTCTTCTATTACTGGCAAGGTCAATGATGTCCTGCTTGTTTCTATTTTTAAAAGAAAATCTCCTGCATTTTTAATAGGTGGTCTTCTCTGTCTTACCTTCTTAGCTTACATGAGCAACAAGATACTTGGCCCCTGAAGAAACAACTCTATTGTTAATATGGTAATTGAGGTGGAGATGTCTCACTCTCCATGCTTTCATTGGAATCCTGCCAGATAGAATTGCTGGCTTTTACATTTTAAACAACAAATGCTTGGATGCATGGTAATCTAATAATTTCACCTGTTCTTTTAATTTTAAATGGCAGATGTGTGTTCTATGGGTCCTTTGCTGTCACAGCTGATGCCACCTGTCATGCACTCAGGAGCTCTGCAGTGGAGATCTGTTAGCAATTTCACTGTGCCTGTTTGAATGAGCCAGATACATTTAAACAGGACAAGTTACAATCGCTATAGTCATCTTTAAATCTCTACCTGTGAGTTTAAAAGAATCTTCTCTGAAAGAGAGAAGACCTTGTCTGTAAATGTATAAGAGGAAAACCTCCAACTGTTCTCTGCTAGTAGGAATCATAACAGACCCCTTTGTGTCATCCCACTCAGTCCAGCTCTAATTGGAAGACTCAGGGTTGATCCTGGGAGTAAAAGTCCCCTGAATGCCCAGAGAAAGTGTGTGAGATATGCAGAACAGTGATGTAAGCACTTGGCACCTAGTATCCCTCACATTTTCCTTCAGTGGTACTTCTTGTCATTTCTGAGCCAATAAAAGCTGAAGTAGAAAACAACTGACAAATAAATGTATAGATCAAAAGCTACCAGGAGGCAAAAGCAATGTCATGGTTAAGACAAAATTTAGTCCACTGTCCAACTGGTAAATGTAGTAGAGTATGTGTGCTGTAAAGAAGCACATGCACTTTTTACATGGCCTTGAGAAAATGATATTCCTTCTATTATTAGTGCAAATAGTCTCTGTTATTATACTTACTTAGGTGTTTTCCTATCCTATTATTGTCATGATAGATTATAGAAAGCATATCCCTTTTTTATACTGGCAGGTGTAGAGAGATCAAATTTAGTGACTCACTCCAGACCTAGCTTTGCCACTTAGCCCAACCATGTGTTTTCCTCCAGTTGGTACGGGGGAAAAAAAAGCAACAGTGGTTGGTAGGGTTTCAGTTTCTTGAACAAAGAATACCCCTATCAGAAAAAGAGTCTTACTTTCTAATTTCTCAGAAAGATGATGTACTATAAAACCTTTCTTTGGAAACCAATACTAGCAATTAATTGTCTTATGAATAATAATCTTATGTAGCAAATTATTTCAAATACCTAGACATGTATTTAACACAAGCTAATTAGTTGGAAATGTGTACAGGTAGCAAGTTGCTTGAATACATTTTTAATGGATATTATGGTTTCTATGGGCGAGCATTTCTATGGCCAAGGTGAACATCTGATAATAGTTGCTTTCAAAAAGTTAAAATTATTAAAGACTTGAAGGGTGAATCTTAAGAGCCTTAGCCTCCCATTCATCACATGGGTAAAGCAGACCCAAATTTACATTTTAAGGTAAAGCTTAACCTTGCTCAAGGGCACTCCCTCATCAACAATATTTTTATGTCTAGTGATGTGAATTCAATCCATGTAGCTGATTGCTTAAACCTTCCCACAGATTAAACCAGACTGAGAGAATGTTCCATACCATACAACATGGCTGCGGTCCCATATATAGTATCACTTTTGTTGGATTGTGTTGCCGTGGGCCCTAGTGAGGAGCATCTAAGAATCAGTCTTGAGAAATGGGTTGTTGAATTTGCACTTGACATGTTGCCAGGCTCATGACAAATTCCAATGCTTGTTTTTAAGATGATCCATGGTAGCAGCTGTCAATCATCACAGGAATGCAAATCTAGACTTTCCCACAGCAGTGGGCTTGTTTGCATCCTCTGGGTTCTACAAATAACACAACTGAATTTCCTTTCCTCTGTAATTTGACTACACAGATGCTCAGAGTGGCCTACATCTATCAAATATTCAGAAGTGCTTTTTTTGTACATTCTAAGGTAGTTGTATTTTCAACGTCATTGTCCTAAGTCTGAGATGAAACCAAAGGAGTTTTCAAGACCAGAATATTAGGATAATACTTAATTCTCTGTGCAATAAAATGCACATGTATAGACACATTCATCTACAAAACTAACATAATACCCAGCAGCTACAACTAGGGCCACAAACTAGGATGCCCACAAGGGTCAGGCTGGTGAAATAAATGTGTGACTGTAGCCAAAGAACACAGAGACTGTTGCAGACTGCAGAGGGCATGCCCCCTAGAGGCATTCAAATTCAATTATTAACTCTGATGGCTAAATAACACACGAGACTAGAAACCAGGTAGTTACATGTGTCCTCGATCAACAATGTATCAAGTTCAAGCTTATGGACATAAAATAAACATGATTTGATAGCTCCTGTCAGCTCTCCAGGGGCTCCCCCTTCAGTTGGTGGGGAAGATGGGACAACAAATCAGCACAATAGAGTGTCAGTGACAAGGCTCTGATAGCACATCTGCAGGACTCAACAAATAATGTAGAGTCAGGTGCAGGAAACCAGGTAGAAAATATGCAAAGGAATTAGTAGGAACAATGATTCCATGCAGCTCCAAGTGCTGAGAAAGATCCTCGTGGTGAAACCTCGCTCACGCTGCTGGGACGGACACACACACAAACAAAGGAAGAATCAGTTCAGGGAATGACACCAGACCTGTGCAGCAATATTTCCATAATCGTTTACTCAAGTAATCAGAAAATTAAAATACAGAGGCATATGGAGAAATAAGAACAACCCTTTTGGTTGAGGCCATTAGCAAACTTTGGACTTGAAGTCTCCAGTCTATCTTTGTGACTGCCTGGGACATATAATTTGAATAAATTTTAGTTCATCCAGCCTCCAATTACTGCCTGTAATGATGACCTACAAAAAAAGTACAGAATCACTAATTAATGGATTGAAAAGCAGTCAGGAAATACATGAGGCTTTATTTAGCACCTAATAATATTTTCAAGCTGGCTTGGTATGCAGTTACCTGCTTTACTGATTTTTAGGTACCTCTTTATAAAAAGACTATAGTTGCCACTTCCTGAGAAAATCTGGGTCCAA